CAATGAATGAATGGAATCCCAAAATCTCTGTAGATGTTCATTGAAATGAAAAATAAACAGCCTAAATTTAAAAAAAAAAAAGAGAGAGGCTAAGTGCGGTAAACAAATTACAAATGTGCATGTTATTTACATAAAATTACAGTACAGGTTATTGGAGCCCTTACTGGGTTTTTTAAATTCAGTTGTTAAAGAGTTTTTAAAAATTTCTTTTGAATACTAATCTCTCATTAAATAATATGCTTTGTAAATATTTTCTCCCCAGCCTATCTTATCTATTTTTATTATGGGTTGTTTGTTTTTTTTGTTGTTGTTGTTTTTTAATTTTTTTTATTTTATTAGGAAAAACATATTGAGGGTATAAGGAGGCAAGGGTTGGGGGCAGTTTAATGGTATTTTTTTAAGCATAAAAGTGTTGAATTTTGATGATACCATTTCATCAGTTTTTTCTTTCATGGACTTTGCTGAGAGTGTTTCCTGGAAATCCTTTGACTTACTCCTTCAGAATATTTAAGAATTCTGACTGGCTTCATGTAGTTTACTTGGCCCTGGGTTGAGTATGGCACTAGCATGGGGCTGTATGTTCTAGGAGTGTAGTCTGAGAAAATTTACTGTAAAAACCTGTGGCACTTCCCCTTTCACTTTCACTTACCTGAGGAAAGAGAATCTTTCCTCCTTGTTTAGTGAGTGACCACATCTTTCCTCCTTGACTACTGGCAGAGACCACATCCCTTCCCTGAGCTTCTTAAGTCCTCCTGTCTCACATGGAGCAAGGGTTTCTGCTGCCTAGAATGGCTAGGAGGAAAGTCTAGTCCTCTGTATGCTGGCTTGGCATCCACCTGGGTCTTCTAGAGTAACTAGTTCTACACAGTGTTATTTTAGTGCTGACTGTCCATTTGGGGCTCTTGCAGGGACTATCGTGCCATCCCGGAGCTGGATGTCTATGAGGCCGAGGGATTGGCTCTGGACGATGAGGATGTGGAGGAGTTGACCGCCAGTCAGAGGGAGGCCGCCGAACGGGCCATGAGGCAGCGGGACCGAGAAGCAGGCCGTGGCCTGGGCCGCATGCGTCGTGGGCTGCTGTATGGTAGGTTCCAGAAGGACTGGGGAAGCGTGCAGGGAGGTAGAGAGCAAGCACTGGGACTTCCTCTTGTCCTTTCCCTTCACCAGACAGTGACGAGGAGGATGACGAGCGCCCCGCTCGGAAACGCCGCCTGGTGGAGCAAGCCACAGAGGACGGTGAGGAGGACGAGGAGATGATTGAGAGCATCGAGAATCTGGAGGACCTGAAGGGCCACACTGTGCGAGAGTGGGTGAGCATGGCAGGTCCCCGGCTGGAGATCCATCACCGGTTCAAGAACTTCCTGCGGACCCATGTGGATGGGCATGGCCACAATGTCTTCAAGGAGCGCATCAGCGACATGTGCAAAGGTGTGTGTGACGTGGTACCTAGCCGTGTCCTCCCACGTGAACTCTGTCCATGTAACTGCCGTTTAAATAGAGATGAAAAACAGGCTTGTCTGTAGCCAGACAGGCGCTTGGGGATTGGGGCACAGACTACTGACTTTAAGAGAAAGTCAATGTTACCTGTCTGCACTAGGACCCTCTCTTTGTTCTCCACCAGTATTTCTGATATGTTTAAAGTGAGATATGTTTGTCAGAAAGGAACAATAATAAACTCATTTCTTTATAATAGTTCGTTTGCAAAGGAAGAATGTGAATCTTGGTTCTCATATATTTGACCTAGTTTGCTCCTGTGTTTTCTTCCTGGTTCTTGTAAGCAGTTGGAGTTTGTAGCCCCTGCTGTACAGGGCACTGCATGTTCATCTAATCCTCTGTAATGACTTCATAACCTGCAACATCATTATTTTATGTGGATTAAGTCTCAGAGTATGTCACTTCCCAAGTTCTTAATGTGCCATTGAGTTGGAACTCATAGCTGACCCTTCGGCAGGTTTTTTAGAGATAGTTAATCACAAGAGGAGTTTGCCCATCCTTCCCCCGCAGAACAGCTGGTGGATTAGAACCACATACCTTTGAAATTGCGATGCAGCTTCTTACACTCAGCCAGCAGAGCTCCCCTACATTCCAAATAATGTAGCTAAACATGGTTGACTCTGAAAAAATTAGCTTTTTCAACTCAGATCAAGGGTTTTGGCTAACAGCGCGCATGCCTCACACAGGCATTGTGACAGCAAGCGCCTCCTAAACCCACTGCTAACTCTGTCCTGTCGCTCTTCTAGAGAATCGTGAGAGCCTCGTGGTGAACTATGAGGACCTGGCAGCCAGGGAGCATGTGCTTGCCTACTTCCTGCCAGAGGCACCAGCAGAACTGCTGCAGATCTTTGACGAAGCTGCCCTGGAGGTGGTGTTGGCTATGTACCCCAAGTATGACCGCATTGCCAGCCACATCCATGTCCGCATCTCCCATCTGCCCCTGGTGGAGGAACTGCGGTCTCTGAGGTGAGCCGAGGGTAGATGGAGTGTACCAAAATCCCCTCTAGGAGACTGGGAATAGGGCAGAGGGTGGTCAAGGAAAGCCCTTATCCCAGGATGTGTTGTGGAGTGGGCAGGAGTATACCTGAGGGGTCTGGTTAGTACAGCTCAGGACCTTGTGGTGGAATGTCTTCTTGAGTAGCTGTGGACCCTCAGGACGACAGGGACCAAAGCCACCAGGTGCCCCCCTCACCCTTAACAGACAGCTGCACCTGAATCAGCTGATCCGCACAAGTGGAGTGGTGACTAGCTGCACAGGTGTCCTGCCCCAGCTCAGCCTGGTCAAGTACAACTGCAACAAGTGCAACTTTGTCCTGGGACCATTCTGCCAGTCACAGAACCAGGAAGTGAAGCCAGGCTCCTGTCCTGAGTGTCAATCAGCCGGCCCCTTCGAAGTCAACATGGAAGAGGTGAGTGTGGGTACCTGCCAGCGCCTCTGAGTATGCAGGGCCTGGCCAGCCTCGGAGACTTTGGGAAGACCAGAGGGGCAGTGAAGGGCAGCAAGATGGAAGTGTGTGTTACTTATACCCTGGTAAGAACCAGATCCGTGTAGTGTGATAGCTTGTCCCATGTAGTGTTTTAAAGAGGTTGAGCCAGTGTTTTCAAAATTAGATAGTTTTGCTTAGAATCTCTTGAGATTATGGCTTCTCTTGAAAAATTGAAATTTGGACCCAACTCCTGAGTGATACTTGACATGCCTCTGTGTTATGGTTGACCTCAGCATCCCTTCACCTGGGGCAGTTTATATTAGCATCTCTCATCCTTCTGGGGCTGTGTACCTACCTGCCTGCCTCCTGGGCTTTTAGGGCCCTGAATTTACTACCTTAGACACCAACTGTGCCACACTGGAGGGAGACTTTGCTGTGAGTCTCTCTGTGCTTTTAGACCTTAGGAAGCCACTTGTACCTATGTGCCTGCCTGAGTGCCCTCTTCTGACAAGCAGAGTGCACACTGTGCCTATAGTAGACTTCCCAATCCCTTGCACTGCCAGGTTTGTAGCTACTAACCTCTCATAGCCCTGTACTCCTAAGGGTTGCCAAAGCTGGAGAATTCTGGAGAGGCTATGCTGTGAAATGTCCAAAAGTCAAAGGCAATTCAGAACAAAAAAACTCCTTATATAACAGACCACCCCCAGCTTTTCTCGCCATTCACTTTTGTACTTTGACAGCTTGAACTTTGACTAGTGACAACATTCATGAAAGCATGTAAGTCATGATCATTGGAAGATAGCACCAAGGCTGGACTTTACTGAGCCTGCATCTTGGCCAGTGTCTTTCCTCTTCTCTCCTTTCTTTCACTCAGACTGACCTTCTCTTTCACAAGCCCTTAGTCAATTTTCACTCAATCCCTGTCCCTGTCTCTGCTGTTAGGGAGCCTCAGAGGAGCTTGGAGTGGATTGATTGTTGTAGCTGAGACCTGTTGAGTACTTGCTATGTGCTAAGTGTCCCTGCAGAGAACTGTGAGACTCTGGTGGTAAGCTGTGAAAACATGACACTGTTGACCCCATTTTACTCTCAAAGAGGTGTTTCAGAGTGGAACATGCAGAAGTCACCCTGCAGAAGTGACCAAATAGTTAGAACTGAGACTTTTTTATAATTGTTTTTTTGCTAAATGTTGTGAGTTAATTGTAACTCACAGCAACCCCCATGTGACAGAGTTGTTATGTGCTGCCAAGTCAAAACCAACCCATAGCTGACCCTCCAGTGGGTTTTCAGAGGCAATAAATTACACGAGAGGAGGATATTGCCCATCTTTCTTCCACAGAACATCTGGTAGATTCGAACCTTGAGCCTTCGTGATTACAGTACAGATTCTTACCACTAGGCAAACAGAGCTCCCTGTTAAGAGACATTTTTTTAAGAAACTGTTTTTCTTGTACTGTAGAGTTTACACAGCACTTTAGGTCCACAGTCAATTTCTGCACATGTTGTTCAGTGACATTGGTTATGTTCTTCATAAAGCGTGAACATTCTTTTTATTTCTGGCCCAATTACTCTATTCCCATTAATATAGTTTCTCTACTCTTAAAATCTCATCTTTGCTATAAAATAATGATCGAACATTTGGCATAATTTGGGGGTTTTGTAAAGAAAACAGTGCTTAAGAGTGATATAATTCATTATCTCCTGAGCCAGTCATTTAGGTACAGCGTGACCTCAGGGATTAGTTTCGGTTCAGGGTGTGAAGAGTATCTTGGACAGTCCATAAGTCCTGGCTTTATTGGGTTTTTTATAGGTTGTTTTTCTAGGCATTTGAGGCTCTGTTCTACACTTTTCTTCCATCCTATTAGAGGTCTTCTCTCATGGCTCAGCCTTGAATGGCCAGTACTGGTTGCTCTGGTCTCAGGGCAAATGAAGTCCTAGTTTGTAGAGACTGTCTAATGAACTCTTTGAGTCTGGTTTTCTTCCTCTTGCTCCAGACAATAGTTGGGTGACCATTCACAAGCTTTTAAAATCACAGGCACTACTAAAATAGAGCATAATGTCATGAACGCTATTATACTAGTCAACGAAGATATCCAGAAATTAGTCCCACGAGGTGTTTGGTTAGGTCTGAGAAGTATCTATAAATGTCCCTTCTCCATTAGTTTGCACATTATATTTAGTTGTTGTTGTTGTCCATGTCATTTCATATTTGTTTAGGGCTTTTTTAAAATTTATAGATTCACTTCTTTTGTTCAGCATAATAGGTGGTTAAGCACAGTGGTTAAGGGCTTGGATGCTAACCAGAAGGTTTGCTATTTGAAAATGCAGCTGGCAATCTACTTCCATAAAGGTGGGGTCTTGGAAACCCTATGGGGCAGTTTTCCCCTGACCTACAAGGTTGCTGAGAAAATCGACTTGAATGAGGATGTCTTCTAAGGCCGCTGAGAGTCAGCATTGGCTTGAAGGCATTGTTTTTGTTCCAAGTTCTTCCATGTTCACCTGTTTACAATAAGTTTTGGAAGCATACTTGTTGATTGTACGTATATGCTTCTATTTTGCTTATTTATCCATTGATGGGCACTTAAGTTCTTTGTATTTTTTTATTAATAGTGCTTTGGTAAACAAATTTGCATATGTCTGTGTCACTGCTGTCCCCAAGGATGAACACTTAGGAGTGGTAATGTTAGGCCCTATCGTACTTTAATACCTTATACATGAAGCTGCCCATTGGAAAGGGACATAATGCTTGGAAGATGGAGGGGTCACTGCAGGAGAGGAAAACCCTCAACAGTATGGATTGACACAGTGACGACACAGTGACTTGAGCGATGGGCTGTGGTAGTCAGAGATGAAAAAGGTGACACAGGAAAGGGTTCAGATCGGCTGTTCATATGGTTGATGTGAGTCTTGCTCAACAGCACCTAACAACAACAGCAACAACATGGTAGGGTGCTCTGGTATCCTGGTGGTAAAACTATGCTGCAACCCCAAAGGCTTATAATTTGAACTCACCAACTCCTCTACAGAAGGATGGGAAATCTCCTGTACAGTTTACTGCCTCTCAAAGTTTGGAGTATCATCTGTGTGTCAGTTGTGATTTCACAACACATAATAATAAACATAGCTCTGGGGAGCCCTGGTGACTAAGAGGGAAGGAATTGCACTGCCCGCACCAAAGATAAAATTATTCGAATCTACCAGCTGCTCCATGGGAGAAAGATGGGCAGGCTCCTCTTGTGTGTATTTACTGCTTCTGAAAACCCACTGGAGAGTCAGCAGTGAGTTAGTTTGTGATTTGGTGGTAAACAATGACACCATATTCTGGTGGCCTGGTGGTAAGGAGTTACCCAGTGCCCCAAGGGAGAGAAATGGACAGTCTTCCCATACAGTTTAAAGCCTCTGGAAACCTGCTGAAGGCTCACCTGTGAGTTGGCTCAGACTAGGCACAGGGAGCTCTGGTGGCCTAGTGGGTAGGGAGTTAGTTGAAGTGCTAACCCACAGACAGATGAGAGTTCACCAGCTGCTCCGTGGGAGAAAGATGGGCAGTGCCCTGGCATGTCATTTATAGCCTCTGAAAACCCACTGGAGGGTTACCTTTGAGTCAGTTTTGACTTCACAGCCCACAACAACAGTAATGATAGCTTAAACTCTAGTTTTTCGGAATTGCGGGTCTGTTCGCTTTAATAGCTGTATTGTTTTGCATTCATTCCAGTAATGGATAAGGGTTCCAAATTCTGTATATTCCTCCCAATACTTGTTTTTTTTCTTTTCTTTTGTTTTTAATTGTTGTTATATGTTGTGGAGTCGACTAGGACTCAGCGACCCTCTAGGCATAGTAGCTTTGAGCCCTGCTCTATCCTGAGTTGATCTCACCATCCGACACACCTACCTCGTTACCCCTGTTACTATGTGAGTTCATCTCATCTAGGGTCTTCCTCTCCTGCATGGCCCTTCTGCCCTTCCAAGCATGCTGTTGACCTCCAAAGATTGGTCCCTCCTGGTAATATAACCACACTGTGTGAGATGGAGCCCTTTAAATATCCTCAAAAACTCGGAATTTACTGCCATCAAGTATGGTGATCCCCCATTGGGAGCTGCTCATGGATTAAAAATCCCAAGATACTTGGCCTTTGAATTAGCAGAGCAACTCACTAAGGCCTGCACCCCCAAAGCTCCCCAAAGCCATCCCAGTGGGAATGAAATAGGATCTCCCCCCCCCTCGGGTTTTGATTTGCATTTCTCTGGCTAATAATGTCTCAGAGATTGTCTCCGTTATCTAACTGCTCTAACAGATACCACAAACAGATTACTAGTAGGCTAGAAGTCCAGGTTCAGGAAGACAGCACTGGAGGAAGGCCCTATCTCTGTCACTTGTGGAGTAAAGTCCTTGTTTCTTTTAGGCTGTGTGGGCCCACTGTTTCTTGGACACCATGTGTTCTGGTCTTTCCGATGTCGTGCATGGGGAGCCCAGGCCCAAAAAAGATTCACTTCATTCTTGGCAATTACTTCTTGATGGTACTGCAGCTGCCCTACCTCAACTGTCTTCCCTCTGCTCTTGTCTCGAAATGGCCTAGCGGGAAGGAACTTCACTGCCAACCCAAAGTCACAGTTCGAATCCACAAGCTGTTCCAAGCAGAAAGCCCAGTAGTCTCCTCTGCAAACCTGAGAGAGGGTCAGCTATGAGTCAGTTCAGGCTCTGTGGTACATAACATCAGGATTATAGGAGGTGATTAGGTAGCTGCCACATAATGTTGTTATAGGCATGTGTTTGGGGAAGACATGGTTTAGTCAGAGATAGGCATTTCTTCTCCTCTTTCCTAATTTAGCATCCTTTGTGTTGAGCCCTGGTATTGCACTACTACCCGAAAGACCACACCTCTCCCGGACAGTCCAGATCAACCAGCAGCTCCTCAGGAGAAAGATGGGCAGTCTTTTCTCATAAAGATTGACAGCCTAATCACTTTTCTCATTCCCAAAGGTTTTTCCCCAGTCTGTAGATTGTCTCCTTCACCCTTTCAAAACATTTGTTGAACATAAATACTTTTTTTATGTCACTGCTATACTGCATGTAAAAAAAAAAAATGCAAACCCACTGTCATTGAGTCAGAACCAGCTCATCACTGACCCTCAGGGTGGGTTTTATGTCTGTAGGTCACACAGGAGGAAATTATCCAGGACTTGTAGCACCTGGCTTTGGGTTGGCAGTGCCTCTCCTATTCACTGGGCCGCCAGAACTCCCTGTACTGTGTATCAAAGGGGCTTAATCCATACCTCTCAACCACCTGATATAAACAAGACATTCCAAGGGGATTGGGGCAGAAATGGGGACTCTCTGGTAGGGTCACTACAAGTTAGACTTGACTAGATGACTGTAGCTTTGGTTTGATTGAGGAACTCTGGCCAGGATTCATGACATCATAGAAGTCAGTCCTTTAAAGTTGACAGGGTGCCTGCAGGTGCTTTCTCCTTTTGTGAATTCCTTGCTGCCCATAACCTTCTACAACTTTCTACTTGTCCCATGCAGACCATCTATCAGAACTACCAGCGCATCCGAATTCAAGAGAGTCCAGGCAAGGTGGCGGCTGGCCGGCTGCCCCGCTCCAAGGATGCCATTCTCCTTGCTGATCTAGTGGACAGCTGCAAACCAGGAGACGAGATAGTAAGTGACCATGAGCAGACCAAGAAGGTCTGTGAAGAAGTTGGTATAATTCATTGCCATGGGGAGCTCAGTTCTTGGTCTCCTCCTCTTCCTCATAAATGGATTGGCTGACTCAGGTGTTGGGCTTCAGAATTATTTTTGTTTTGTTTTCTAAGAATTATTCCTCTTGGTGTTCCCAGTGTAAAAACTTGGAACAGGAAAGACTGACGTGACATGGCGGTGGGCTTGAGCTCCCGTCTGTGACCCGGTCACGGACCTCTGGCTGTTCTCTCGTAGGAGCTGACTGGCATCTACCACAACAACTACGACGGCTCCCTCAACACTGCCCATGGCTTCCCTGTCTTTGCTACGGTCATCCTGGCCAACCATGTGGCCAAGAAGGACAATAAAGTGGCTGTAGGAGAACTGACTGACGAGGACGTGAAGATGATCACCAGCCTGTCCAAGGATCAGCAGATCGGGGAGAAGGCAGGTGGAAGTTGAACTATGGCTGCAAAGCTCCTGGGAGGAAGCAAGGGGAACACTTGATAATTTCTAATTCTGTCTGTACAGCAACTTCTATTCCTGCATCTGAGCAGGCTATTCTGTTCCTTTATCTACCCCTTAAGGCATCTTTTCAAAGAAGGTAGCGTAGTTAGACACCTCTCTTGTCAGAGGGTGTTATGCATTAGACAAGTGGGCCATCTAGCCACTGACCTCCTGCTCTGCTTATGCGTCACGGTGGCCCAGACTTCAGAGAACAGAGATCCTCATTCCCATTGGCACTCTCTCCCTTTGATAGATCTTTGCCAGTATTGCACCTTCCATCTATGGCCATGAAGACATCAAGAGAGGTCTGGCACTGGCTCTGTTTGGAGGGGAGCCCAAAAACCCAGGTGAGCAGCAGTGTGCCCCCTGACCTCTGCGGAGATAGTGTTCTGGGTGATGGGCTAGGACTGTTAAAGGATGGGGAGACATTCATGACGAGTCCTCATAGCAGAGAATAACATGCCAGGTGTCCTGGGGATACCGCCGCCACTCTCTGCTCCTGGCGCCACACTGTGCTTCATGATGTGAGTGAATTCTTTGCTCTTTTATTTTTTATTGTAAAAATCTTTTTTATCGGGGAGCTCTGGTGGCCTAGTGGTAAGGAGCTGCAACTACAATCCCAGAGACACACGGTTCAAATCCACCAGATGCTCTGCCAGGGAAGGAGGGACAATCTCCTCCTGTACCAGTCAGATCTGATTTGATGGTACACTCACACACAAAAATAATAAAATAAAAATTTAAAAAAAGAAATAAAATCTTTTTTATCTTTTAAAAATTAAATTTAAGCTGCAAAAATAATAGGTGAATAATGTATTTATAGTAAATCTTCTTTATAAAATAACTTAGCACAGTTGGGACTGAAGTCACCACTGACCACCCTTTCAAACCTCAAGTCCCTCTGTCTGTCTACGCAGTTCCTCCTCTTAGTGGTCACATGTATGTACTGCTAGTCTTTACATGGACACTTAACATATACTTCCACATGTGTCAGTACAGAAAGGCACCTGTTTTCTATGTATTTAACATGCTTGTATTTAAAAGTCAGTATTTTCTGTACATGTACCTAAGTGCTCTCACTCTACATAGCATTTATCCAGCTTACTTTTCTCCATTTAATAATATATCCTTGACATCATATTGTTCCCAGGGCAGTTTGATTCTTTAAATTACTGTTTGACAGTCCATTTAATGTATTTAGCTGTCCTCCTACTTGAAGAACATTTTGTTTGAAAGTTTTCACATTTAGGTGAATGTGTTTCTATATTCTTCATAGTGTACCTCTCTGCAAGTGTCTCTCTGGAATAAGTTCTCAAAGTAGAATTATTGGTCACAAGACATTACATCCCTTTCTGGAAACATTACCCGTTTTTGTTTCTAAGAATACCTCTCACCTCCTTCCTTTCCCTAACCGTCCAATCCTGTCTCCTCCAGGTGGTAAGCACAAGGTCCGAGGTGATATCAATGTGCTGCTGTGTGGAGATCCTGGCACAGCTAAGTCTCAGTTCCTCAAATATATCGAGAAAGTCTCAAGCCGGGCCATCTTCACCACTGGCCAGGGGGCTTCTGCGGTAGGCCTGACGGCATATGTCCAGCGGCATCCTGTTAGCAGGGAGTGGACCTTAGAAGCTGGTGCCTTGGTTCTGGCTGACCGAGGAGTGTGTCTTATCGATGAGTTTGACAAAGTGAGTTTTAGGTCTCCTTGGGAGATGGGGGACTGAGTGAATGAGCTTAGTCCTTTGTGGTGGAGAGTGTCAATTGAGAGTGTTGTGATCATATGAAGACATAGTGATGATGCAAGGATCTTGCTAAGAGAGAATCATTTGACTTTTAAAGATGAATGACCAGGACAGAACCAGCATCCATGAGGCTATGGAGCAACAAAGCATCTCTATTTCAAAGGCTGGTATCGTCACCTCCCTGCAGGCTCGTTGCACCGTCATTGCTGCTGCTAACCCCATAGGTAAACCAGGCACTTTGGGGCAGAGGGACTTGGGGGCTCCTCAGTGGGAGAAGAGCTGCCCCTTCTAGTTACCAGAGGTGGGAACACCTAAGTGCTAATCTGAGAATGGAGTTTGTTGAAAGACTGTTCTCTCTCAAACATTTCTTATCCGAAGGGCGCAGTGGGAATAGGCTCGGGATGCCTTACAATTTTCTTAAAACCACATTCTCAGCACGGTTTTCTTGGAACACGTGGAGGATTTCACTGCGTTTCTAAGCTAAGTCAGTGGTTGCTTAATCACCAGGAGATGATTTCGAGATCTTAAGAGTCAACTATACCTTGTTTTTTTCTTCTGTCTTAAGACTTTTCCAAGTGTTAAGAATTCTGTCTCTCCAAAATAAGTATTGTAAATCATAGCTTCTAACCCTGTGGCTATAATCCCTCTTGGAATAGGTTGTCTTCAGTCATGAAGCAAAGTTAGAGTATCTGTTGAGATAGAAAAGTGATTAAACAAGCTGGAAGCAGAATCCACCAGCTGCTTCTAGAGAGAAATATGCAAAGTCTTGTCCCATGTGATTTACAGTCTCTGAGCTTGCTAAGGGTCAGCTATGAGTTGGTTAACCCTTAACGGCAGTGAGTTTAAGTGTAGAGAGAAGCCTGTCTTGTGAAAATTTCCCAGGAGCCAAAGTTTAGGCAAGACACATCTGTCTTTGAGGAAGTACAGCCAGGGTGCCCCTGAGAGGCACAGATGTGGTACTTCATCTCATATATTCTGAACCTGTTGTCAGGAGGCACTGGTCTTTGGAAAAAGATAGGGTTCTTAGAAATGTATCGAGGGTCAGTGAAAGAGGAGGAACCTCCACAAGATGGATTGATACTGCAGTGGTGGATTTTAGCATGGCAGAAATTGTGAGGCTGGCACAGGATGAGGTTACGAGTTGTAGTCACCTAAGCATTCATTACCTAATACGACAGCCTCCTCAACTAGGAGGAAATGGTTTGTTTGTTAAAGGCATTCACTTACTGCAGCACTCAAAAACGAAGACATTAGGCGCTTGCTAAGGGAAGCAAGCATCTTCTGTCCAAAATGTTTAATAGATGCAAGCTTTGAGTATTCCACATGCCCCTTTTTTCTTCTAATCACCTTATTGTTCGCTTTGGAACCCCTTAGTCTTAGGAAGAACTTCAGAAGGGAAAGTCTACTCTTTGGAATTCTGATGGGAAGGTATCTTTATGTTACAGGAGGGCGCTACGATCCCTCACTCACCTTCTCAGAAAATGTGGACCTTACAGAGCCCATCATCTCACGCTTCGACATCCTGTGTGTGGTGAGAGACGTAGTGGATCCAGTCCAGGTACACAACTCTGGTATCCCTGGGTTCCCCAGCCTTCGATTTAATGCCCTTGCATGAGACTTGAACGGTGTATGATGTTTCTGACATGGGGAAAGGACAGCCAGGCAAAGATCTATTGCCTCTTGCTTTTATTCTTGTTTCCTGCTTAAGTTTCTTCTCCAGCTTAGAAGTTATCTTAGATTTCTTTTGGTCACCAGCACCCTTCCCTGGGTGTCTACTGATTATAATCTTAAGTCCTCTTGTTCCTATTTCCAAATTATTTCGTGAATCTAGCTGTATCTCACTTGTTTTTTAGTACAGCTAAAATTCAGATTTCTCTTAACCTCTTATTGAAGGAATTAGGACACTGTCTAGTTAGAAGCCAAAGCATAAATCTAAGACTTCCCTTTCTCTGTAAAAATTTGCTAGCTTTCCACTGTAGTTAGAGTAGAATCCAAAGTCTCATGGCCCGTGGATGATCTCTTTCTGGCCTGTCTTTCTACCTTCTCTGTAATTACTTTCTGATTCTCTTCCCTTTCTCTGACCTCTGTCTCCCCATGAGCTTTGCCAGATGCTGAGACTTTAAACTTGCTCTTTTCTTTTCCTAGGATGCTCTTCTCCTAGATTGTCACTTGACTATCTTCTCATTCTTGGCTTTCTATGACAACTTAACTAGCAGGTCTCCTGAGTTTGTCTGTCTCATGTATATGTTGCTTCAGTAGGTACATTTTTTTTGTGAGGACTCTGTCTTTTTTACCAGTGTATCTGTAGCACCTAGGAAGTATGGGATCTGTGTGCTCTTGAGAGCGTCAGTCATACTCATGGCACATGCAGCTTCTCAGTTCTTCCATCAAGCCAGGTCACTCTGACAGCCTGACCCTTGCTGCTTTTCTCAGGATGAGATGCTGGCCCGCTTTGTGGTGGGCAGCCATGTCCGACACCACCCCAGCAATAAGGAGGAGGAGGGGCTGAGTGGTGGCAGTGTCCCCGAGCCGGCCATGCCCAACACGTATGGCCTGGAGCCTCTACCGCAGGAGGTCCTGAAGAAGTACATCATCTATGCCAAGGAGAAGGTCCACCCAAAGCTCAACCAGATGGATCAAGACAAAGTAGCCAAGATGTATAGTGACCTGAGGAAAGAATCTATGGTGAGGACCCTCGGGATGCATCCTGGGTAGGATAGGAATGCGGGTATGGACAGAAGCACTAGAGGAGCTTTATTATCTATGCAGTTTGGATTAGTAATTGGTCAGTTAATCCAAAAAGTCTTAAAATAGGCATTTAAAAAAGGGTTGAGTACCTTATTTTTCCATTTGTCTGTCTTGGACCATATGCCTGTTGGTCCATCGATGAAATTCCACAAGGACTTTGCATAAATAAAGAGCACACATGGTCCGGGTTCAGGTCTAATAAATTCTTAGTAGAGTAAGAGTTGAAAGGTAGCTTGCAAGTAATTCAGATGTAGTGTTCTTGTGGATTTGTGTGCCTTTCCTTACCCATCCAGCCGTACATGATCTGACAGCATTCTTTTCTTTCTTGCCTTTTCTCTTTTAAGAGCATTCAACTTAGTTTTCATTGGAACAGTTCTCCCCACGTACATCCTTTCATTTTTGTCATAGTTACGTGAGAATGGCAAAAATAGCTGGCAATAAGTGTAACAAAGAGCAAATATGTACAGGCATAGTAATGGGAGGCCATTAGCGTTGCTGCACACCCTGGGCTCCACCATTATGTTGAGAGTGTTTTATTCTCCTTCTCTCCTACCTGAGAAAGACCTTACGGTGTCCTCATTTTCAGGCAACGGGCAGCATTCCCATTACGGTGCGGCACATTGAGTCCATGATCCGGATGGCAGAGGCCCACGCGCGCATCCACCTGCGGGACTACGTGATAGAGGATGATGTCAACATGGCCATTCGAGTGATGCTGGAGAGCTTCATCGACACGCAGAAGTTCAGTGTCATGCGCAGCATGCGGAAGGTCAGTGTGTGCGAGGCCTGGGGCCTGCCGTCCTGCGAGTGGGCAGAGGGCTCCTGATCTGGCTGCTGTGAGCAGGAGGTGAGGAGCTGTGGTAACTTTGAGGGTGCTGGGAGCGGAGATACTGTTTGACTCTTGCTTTTCTCCACAGACATTTGCTCGCTATCTGTCATTCCGGCGCGATAACAATGAGTTGTTGCTGTTTATATTGAAGCAGTTAGTGGCAGATCAAGTGACATATCAGCGCAACCGCTTTGGGGCCCAGCAGGACACTATAGAAGTGCCTGAAAAAGACTTGGTGGACAAGGTATGGACATGGAATTGAGAGTGAGGACTGGCACCTCGGGAGTGGGCGAGTCACCTCTGGGGACTTGATCCCACGGTAGATAGGGCTCCTTGCTGTGCCGGCCCTGACTGAGGGGTGGGGAAGAGGTGGTTGGGTGGCAGCACTTGCTGGGTCCTTGCAGTGTGCCAAGTGCCTGTGCACGTGTCATTTTGGCATCAGCTACATGAGGTCTGTCCTGTAAATTAGTAGGCCTCATTTCACAAAGGAGCAAATAAGTTGCCGCTAACTAGCAGAGATAAGAATTGAACCCTTGTCTAGTTAGCTGCTCATAACCTTTTCACGTGGCTGCTTTCTCCTGTAAAGTGCAGGTTCTTGGCCGCCATATACAAGGCTCTTTATAAACCAGAGATCATTATTACCATCAGTGCCAACTAACTTGACATTTTTATTCTCTTTTAAGGCACGTCAGATCCACATACACAACCTCTCCGCTTTTTATGACAGTGAACTCTTCAGGATGAACAAGTTCAGCCATGACGTGAAGCGGAAAATGATCCTTCAGCAGTTCTAGGGCCCCGGGCCATTGGAGTATCAGACTGTGCCTTCTGGTTTGGGAAGGCAGAACTGAGCTCTCAGTTCACGCTGTGCTTTCTAAACCTAACACTGCTGAGCCCTTGGACACGTGGTCAGGCTGGGCTTGGAGTTAAGTAACCTGCTTTCATGCACAGACTCCCAGGCTAAGGCTGTGACTTGGAGTCATGGAATTTATTTCTTTTCTCCATTTTTGGCTTCTCTTGCCTTCCAAGGGAGTATGCTTTGCCAGTGTCTCGTTTTCAGCTGCCACTCAGCCTCCTGTCTCCAAGTGCTTTGTCCCTGCTTAGTAGTTTGGATCAATCGTTTGTATTCAGGGTACTCATGATGGAAGCTGACGTCCTTGGGTGAGGCATGTATGTCTCAGGTGGCTGAGCGTATTAGGGGCGTTCTGAGGACGAGAGTTCCAAATCCAGGCTACTTCTCTGCCTTTGACCTGAGTGCAGATTAAAAGTGTTGAGTAGTCTTTTCCCAGACTCTGGAAAGTTTCTGTAAACCACAGAGTGGAGAAAGTGTAGGTGCATACACGAGAGACCACAACCCTGTCAGTCAGTTGCTATCCATTAAGACAGAACTCGTGTTCCCCCATCAGCAGAGGCGTGGAGCTGGAAGTGGGTAATGAGGTTCTCTGACAGCCACGTATGCCACTCATTACTGTGCTCATCTCCTTAATCATTTTTCCATTCTCTTTATTTGTTCCAGTTTTTTTCCTATAGTTTTAATTTTTTAAAAAAGTTTAATAAAATGCAAGTATTCGCATCTGTTGGTCTCAGTTTTATTTTAATACCCTGTTCCAGGCTTCTCTGCACCGCCTTGGAAGAACATTTCTCTCTTCCTTTGGAGGTGGTGCAGGCAAGAGAGCTTTCTTGATTGTGGATCTGGAGAGACTAAACTGACGAGGCTGTCTCGAACTTGGTGTGCACACCTGCCTGTGTGCTATACCAGAGCCCATGGAAGTCACAGGTGGTGGGGTCAGTCTCCCGGGGGAGGAGTGCTGTTAAGGTCACTAACATTGCATCCAGCCTACCTTAATAGTAAGTGACATGAGATGCCTTGACCTTGTTAGACATCTACCATACTGGTGTTAAGTGTTTCTTGTCTGAAATTTAGCTACAATGTCTGCTTACCACTTTTATTTTATTTTGAAGATGAAAGTAAAGACATTTTTATTAGAAAAGATACATCCCAGGGAGTAAGACAGGTGATTTCTCTGAAAGTAAAACTTTTCATTTGGACGATTTCCAAGGTGACTTCCTGTGAAATTTCTGCAGATAATTGATAACTAGTGAAGTCTGACATTAAGAAGCATGGGAATCCCAGGGCACTTGATGATGCTCATGCCGAACCTGTACTTGGATCAGGAGGCTGTTGTGTGAACAGAGCGAGGAAGCACTGCATGGTTTAGAGCTGGGAAGGGAGTGCAATAGCATTGTATTCTCCATACTTACTCAGTCTGTATGCTGAGCAGATTATTCGAGAAGCTGGGCTCTGAGGAGGAGTATGGCATCAGGATTGGAGGGAGACTCATCAATAACTTGCATTATGCAGATGAACACAAATTTGCTGAAAGTGAAGAAGGCTTGAAGCATTTGTTGCAGAACAAGGAATGCAGCTTTTGGTATCAATTACACCTCAATGTCAGGAAAATGATTCTTCCTACTGGACAGATACAGGCAGCATCATGAAAGATGGAGATGAGATTGAAACTGTCATCTTGCTTGGATCCACAATTAACACCCTTGATACAAGCACTCAGGAAATAAGGAGATGCATTGTACTGGGAAAATCCGCAGTTAGGGACCTTTCCAAAGTATTGTGTAGTTAAGACTAAGGTGTGTCTGATTAAGGCCATAGTCTTTCCAATTACTATACCTGTGCATCGAGACCTGGACAGTGAATAAGGATGACAGAAAAAGAATTGATGCCTTTGAGCTGGGATGTTGGAGAAGAGCACTGAACATCCCGTGGACAGCCAAGAGAACGAACAGGTAAGTCTTAAAAGAGGATGCAGCTGGAGTGTTCTTCAGAGGCAAGAATGATGAGGCTTTGCCTCACATACTTTGGACATGTTAGGAGGGACTATTCCTTGGTGAGGAAATGGTGTTGGGAAGGGTGAAAGGTCAGTGAAGGAAAGGAAGATTCAACCAGTAGGATTGATAGGGTGACTGCTGCAGTGGGCTCTTGTGTGTCAGTGTGAGGATAGAACAGGGTTCAGATACTTTGTTCATAAGTCACTATGAGTCTTGCTCAACTTGACAGCACCTAACAACAGTGAAGTCTGACTTTTCACTCAATTCAACGAATGTTATTCATGGCCAGGCCCTGGGAACAACAGATTAACAAAGTAGAGTTGGTTTCTGCCTTTGAAGCCTGAGATAAGTGTTTCAATGGGTGACTTTAGCAAATGAAGAACAAGTACCCCCTACAAGTTGTGCTGGGAAGGGAAGGAAAGGAGCGGTAGGTATTATTATGTGTCGTCGAGTCGATTGTGACTCATAAGCTACCCTATATACAAGAGCCCTAAATGTTGTTCTATCCTGTGCCAACCTAGCCATCTCAAATGCACTTGTTCCCACCACTCTACTCAAAGAATCGATCCATCTCATCAAAGGTTTTCCTTTCCTGCGCCGTCCCTCCACTCTGCCAAACATGATGTCCCTTTCCAAGGACCAGTCCCTCCCTTGCAACATGTCCAAAGTATGTCAGACAAAGCTTCAGAATCTTGACTCCAAGGAGCATTCTGGCTTCACCTCCAGGACAAACCTGTTTGTTCTCCTAGCAGTCCATGGTATATTCAACACTCTTCTCCAGCACCACAGCTCAAAGGCATCAATTCTCTTTCTGTCATCCCTATGCACTGTTCCAACACTCTGATGCATAGCACGTAATTGTGAAGCCCAGATCAGGCACACCTTAGTCTCCAGCCTGACGTCGTTGCTCTTCAGTACTCTTGAAGGTCCCTCACAGCTGACTTTCCCAGTGCAATTCATCTCTTAATTTCCTGGCTGCTGTTACCAAGAATTTTGACTGTGGAGCCAAGTAAAGTAAAACTGTTAACTATCTCAATCTCTCACCATCCACACTGATGCAGCCAATTGGCCCAGTGGTGAGAATCTTTGTTTTCTTGATGTTGAGCTTCAATCCATATAGGAGGCTGCAGTCCTTGACCTTCTGCAGCAAGCACTTCAGGTCCTCAGTTTCAGCAAGCAGGGTTGTGTCATCTGCATAACGCAGGTTGTTGATGACCTTTCCACCAATTTTGATGCCACATTCCTCGTACAGCCCAGCATCTCAGATGATCTGTTCTGCATACAGATTGAAAAGTTATGGAGACAAATAGAATTTAAAGGGTGGAGATGAAACCTGGAGAAGAAGGACTTTTCTGCAAAGAAAGTGGCTGGAGCAGAGTGATGGGAATTGAGATGAGGTGGGAGGTAGGTAATTCAGAGTTTGTAGGCTGTAATAGTGTTTGCCTTTCATCTAACTATAGCATAGGATTCCAGTGAGGGTTGTAAGCAGAAGGGTAACGTTATCCAATACGTGTTACCAGCCATGTAACTACATAAACTGTTGAAAGACATGAAAGGGGAAGTAAAAGGGCTATAGTTGGGTCCTAAAGAACTTTAGGTGGTGTCCATGGAGACAGCAATAGAGGTAGAAATGGATATTTGTTACTGTGCTGAGTCGGAACCAACCCATAAATGACCCTCCCCTGGCTTTTCAGTGACAGTAAATTACGTGGGAGGATATTGCCCATACTTCTCCCGTGGAGCAGCTCGTGGATTTGAACTGTGAGCCTTTGGAGTTTCAGTGCAGCTTCGTACCACTAGGCACCCAAAGCTCCCTGGACAAGATTTAGTGATTAATAAAATATAAGGAAACCCAGCAATAATAGCAAAGTCCAAAAAGGCAGGAAAAAACAAATGCTGGCAAGGATGTGGAGAGATTGGAACTCTTACTGCTGGTGGGAATGTAAAATGGGACAGCCAATATGGAAGGAATCTAGAGCTTTCTCAAAAAGTTAGAAATATCTGTGCCCATAACTGGCATTAGGAAGGCCACAGACTTGATTGTGAACAGGGTGGCGGTGACGGCAGGCTGTGGTGATGTGGACAAGGGCTGTGCTCAGGCCCTGAGAGGTCAGGGTGAGTCGTCATCACTGAGATTGACCCATTAACCATGGATAAGGCCTGGAAGGAGGGCAACCTCTTTGTCACCACCACAGGCTGTATCAATCCCATCCATGGCTGGCACTTTGAACAGATACGGGATGATGCCATTGTGTGTAACATTGGACACTTGGACCAGGAGATGGGCATCAGATGGCTCAACCCTAACGCTGCGGGGGAGGTGAAAAAAAAGCCATGGTACTGACTGAAGAATGGGCACTGCCGCATCCCACTGGTCGAGGGCTGGCTGGTCTGCTGTGCCCTGGGCCACCCCAGCTTTGTGATGAGCAACTCCTTCACCAACCAGGTCCTGGAAGATTGGACTGTGGACCCCATCTGGTCAAGTACACCATTGGGGTCCACTTCCTATCCAAGAAGTTGGATAGGGCAGTGGCTGAAGTCCACCTGGGCAAGCTGAATGTGAAGTCGACTAAGTACCTGGGCATACCCTCTGATGGCCCCTTCAAGGCTGACCACTAACGTTACTGAAAGCCAGGCCTGTCCCTCAGTTTCCAAATGATATGTCTGCTCCTTGCCGTCTAGCGGATGTCCCTGCCCAGGCTCCAAGTCCTTACAAGAACAAATGGCATGAACTGAGCTTCGTTTGTCATTGCACCCTAACCCCCTCCTTATTGACTTGCTGGGGCTGGTCACTCAGCTGTTGGCCACCTCTGTGTCCCTCATACTGGCATGCCTCTGTCAGGGAACACTGAGAAACCGCTCCCAAAGCCCTTATGATGGTAGAGGTGTGAAGGAGACACCTGCAGGGAAGGACTCAAGGGTCTTCGAAGTGTTCCCTCAGCCTGTAGAC